AGGAGTTCAGTTCAGTGTTTAGCTGTGGGTGTCTGTCTTTGCTTCCATCAATCACTGAATGGAGGCGCCAAGATAGCATGCAAGGTAGTCATCAGTCACTTTATGAGGGAAGGGCATTTAAGGTAGCCTCTCCACTATTGTTTAGATTGCCAGTTGTGTCATCCTTGTAGATCTCTGGAAATCTTACTAGTGCCAGATCTCTCCTCAAACCTATAGTGGCGCCCTCTATTATGGTATCTCTCACCCTGCTCTCCTCTGTTCTTCCCCTGACTCAACCTTCTTGCTCCTCCACATCCTTCTCTTCCCTCCTCTTCGACCCCTCTCTTTCTCCAAGCTCCCTTTCATCTCCCCTCATGCTCCCATTTCCCTCAGGAGATCCTATCCAGTCTTCCTTCTCTGGGGGTACCATGAATATCTCTTAGAGTCCTCTTTGTTTCCCAGACTCTTTGGCGGTGGGATTGTAGGCTGGTACTCCCCTGTTTCATGTCTAAAATCCATATATGAGTACATACCGTGTTTGTCTGTTAGTGACTGGGTTACCTCACTTAGGATGGTTTCTTCTAGTGTCATCCATTTGCCTGCAAATTTCAGGATTCCATTGTTTTTTTTCCACTGAATAGTACTCCATTGTGTAAATGTACCACTTTTCTCTATCCACTTGTCAATTGAGGGGCGTTGTCTAGGCTGCTTCTAGATTCTGACTATTGCAAATAATGCTGCTATGAACATAGTGGAACAGATGTCCTTGTTGTATGAATGTGCATCTTTTGGGTATATGCCTAAGAGTGGAATTGCTTGATCTTGTGGTAGACTGATTCCCGTTTTCCTGAAGAATCTCCATACTGATTTCCAAAGTGGGTGTACCACCAGTGGAGGAATGATCCTCTTTCTCCACATCCTCTCCAGCATAAACTGTCATTGGTGTTTTTGATATTAACCATTCTGATGGAGTGAGATAGTATTTCAGAGTTGTTTTGATTTGCATTTCCCTGATGGCTAAGGATGTTGAGCACTTTGACTAAGGAACTTGAGCACTTTCTCAAGTGTCTCTCAGCCATTTTAGACTCCTCTATTGATAATTCTCTATTTAGTTCTGTACTCCACTTTTTAATTGGATCCTTTGGTGTTTTGGACACTTGCTTCTTGAGTTCTTTGTAAAATGAAAATGAGGTTTTTTTAAGGTGGCCATGCTGGGCAGATGACCAAGATATCCCGTGAGCTTCTTAAGTCTGTGTTCCAAGTTTAGATAGAAGTCCCAGGATACACACTACAAAGCAGTCCTGGTCAAGGTGTTGACATCATTGTATGGGCTTCAGTAAGGTAGTTTGACAAGTTGTTAGAACTGTGAAACTTCCTGAAAGAGTTCAGGAAGACAAAAAAAGGGCCCCTCCAGCTGGTGCCATTTCCTTTTCCCATCATGAGATTCCTAGGGAAATGTCCCTTTCTTTGTGGGTCTACTGTCAGATTGAGAGACACAGAGTCTCTTTAGACTATCTTCCTTTCTACCAGGCAGGTTACAAAACCAATCTTGCCAAACAGCTCCTGCATGCTTATGTAAGAAAATGATGTGTGCTACAATTTATTCCAAATCTGGCTAGCTTAAAATTCCTTTGAATATCTCAGTTTCTTGCATAAAGGTCCAGTTGATCTTCAGCTTGAGGTTCTGGGTAACTCATCAGGCCAAGTCCTCTCACAAGGCCTGGGGAAGGAACCACATCCTGATCACTCACCTGACTGTTCCTGAGGTTTAGTTTCCATTGGGCTGTACAGAGGTCTCAGCTCCTTGTGGGATGTTGGCTTGAGGCTTCCCTCCATTGTTTCTCTTGGAGTTCCCTAAACAGGAAATCAAAATGAGAAAGCAAGAGGAACAGTGAGTGCCAGCAGGATGGGAGTCCCAGGGGTTTTGTGATCTTACTGTTGAAGATCTAACTCAATTTCCGTTGAATTTTGTTAGATGTGAGTCACTAGCCCAACCCTCATTCAAGCAGAGAGACAGACATGAGATTCTGAATATCAGGGATTGGGTGACCTTAGGAGTCATGCCAGAAACTTCCTAAGCCAGGTAATACTATAAAATTTGAGTCTAAAATGTAGGAGACACAAAGTAAGACTACATCCTTGGATGGAGTCTGAGTAGGATTTGGAGAAAACAGGGGACACGCGGGTGATAAGGAAGTGTCATTGTTGCATAGGACAGAGTTGTGGTAGAGCTAAACAGAAGACCTATTGGTTTTGAAATTAGCACCTCATTCTGCCAGGTCTGTCAGAGGTAGAATTGGAACTGAGTTAGATGGTGGAGGCAGAGTAGTGATTGTAGGAAGAATGGAAATGCAAGGAGACAAAGTACACAGTGTGATTCGGGAATGAGACATAGCTTTCTGTTACTGGAGCACTGGGGCTTATGGGAATGGTGGGCAAAAACAAAGTTGCTTTATGATGGGGGATGTTCTTCTGTATACTGCTAATACATGTTTCTTTTATTGGTTGATGAATTAATGCTGATTGGCCAGTAGCCATGGAAGGAAATATAGGTGGGGCTATCAGACCAGGAGAATTCTGGGAAGAGGAAGGCTGAGAGGAGCCTAGAGATACTGTGTAGCTACCAGGTGAGAGACCAAAAATTAAAATTAATAAAAGTGTAAAACTTGGGCCCTAAATCTAAACAGAGAAAGGGAAAATTTAACTCCTTAAATCAGGAGTGCCATGGCTGGCGCCTGAGCCCCTGCTGTCAGAGAATGGGAGGTAACTGTCCATCACTCCTGTTAACATTCCTTTGCTAACTGCTGGTCATAAAGGTCCCCTGCCAGTTGTAAAGATCCCCTAGCCCAGGGAATAGCTGACAAACCCTGTGACCCTATAACCCTGCAACCTCATGCCCTGTCTTATCTTACTCAAATGTATCTTGTTTAAAATATAGAGTTACTGCTTTACTCTGTATTTTGTATGACCTTAATTAACCATGGAAACTGAAATTTGTGGCCTTCAACCTTATGGTCTGCCCCTTTAAAAGCTTCTCTTTTTGGCTGGTGGGCATCTCATTTCCTCCACCATGGAAAGAGATCCATCTGGCCAGCTGAACAGTAAATGGAACATTTTGTTTTTGCATTAAGAGTGTTGACTCCTTGGGTTAGGCTCTGGGATTCCACAAACCTGGCTCAACACTGGAAGATAGGATGCTGAGCATTCTCCTGTAAGATAAGGCTGTGTAGAAATATATAGATTAATAGTTATGGGCTAATAATTAAGAGAGAGCTAGCTAGTAAGAAGCCTAAGCCATCAGCCAAACAGTTTATAATTAATATAAGCCTCTGTGTGTTTATTTGGGACTAAGGGCTACGGGACCAGGTTGAAGAGAAAACTCTGTCATCAGCGTTATGAAGGAGACTGCGTGTTATCTAAGTGATTTTGATTTTAGGAAAAGCAGAGAGCCCTGTAAATGTTATATGATGCTGTTGCCTACAAACATTAGCCGGTTTTCCTGAGTCATACCACGTGAACTATATCTCTATTATCTGCACAGCTACCTTTTGGAGCAGGTTTTACCATCAGCTATATTTAAACAGAAGCTAGTTTTATGTTTTATGCCTATTTTTTTTTGTGGCTAGGAAGCATTGGGCCCTAGAAGCCATCATGGGTCAAGGCAGCTGTTCCTCTTTCCTGGTCTGTGGCTCCTACAGGCAAAGCCACTCTCACATACCCTTGATGAGTTGTGTGTTACTGTCCTCCTCCTCTTCCACCTGAAATTCAAAAGATAGGATTTTTAAAAAAATCAATTTGTGGGACAATGCTCTCTGACATAGCTTCATTCTCAGCCTCCTTTTAAATATTTTGGGGCAATACCTAAGTGGCCCATGTTGTAATACTCTTACCTAAGCATCTCGTGGATCTGGGATCCCCAATCTGTACCACCAGACCCAGTTTGTCATTGCATAAATATGTTACTGCCTATAGCTAGTAATGATTTAAAAACACAGTCATAACATCTTTATTGCAGTCAACACAGTCAACAGCAATTTCTATCAGATACTATTATAAGAACTTTGAGAATCAATCATATATCCTGCATTAAAAAACACTGAAAATGATAGACTTCTGTTTATGAATCTTTTACAAGCACAGTAAAATACTTTTTACTGACATTGTAGACTTGATGTGCATACCATAGTATCTTATTCACACAACCTTTCTGTATGGAAAATTGATCTTTTCTGTATTACTGACTAGACTGACCTGTATTCTGAGTTGCATAGCTTTGCTTCATTCTAGGAATGTAAAACACATTTTTTCACGCTATATTAACTGCACTACCGAATTTTACAATTTAGAGATCTAAAGAAGTTCATGGAACCTTTAATTTCAATGAGTCTTGCATCTCCAGGGTGTGGTGGTCCCAGCATGCAGATTCGCCTAGTGTGTATCTGTAAAGATATGGAAATCGTGTACCACTGCTATGATTTGAGGCAAAATTGTAGCTGGAGAAAAATGCTGAGAAAAAAAAATTCATTGCAACTAGCAATACTCACGAACTGACTCATTTTGTTAGTACACATGTTTTAAGTGTCTATAAAAATTAAAAAAAAGGTTTTTTTAAAAGACTGCATAATCTAGTTTTATCATTAGTCTAGTTTTATCTCTTTGAGCGGTGGTGCTCCAGTGTGTGCGTGCAGAGAGCTCTTAAATTGTTCCTCCCTCCAGTGGCCACGGTCCACTCCACAGATCTTGGAAGCTTGTGTTACCATGAAAGGGGGAATGGGTTTGTTTAGCCACCGGCCACGCTTCCCGTTAGAGAAGCAGACAGCTTAAAGGGTGCAAGCCGTTGCTTAAACAGCATTGGGTCATCTGTGTATTTTCAGCCAGAGTGAGCAGGCAGCAGGAAGAGCCGGTAGTTGCCTTGGCAAACAGCAGGCGGTTGCCTTGGCAACCACCCTTCAGCAGCGCACAGGAGGCGTGGCCATGATGGCTGGGCGTGGCCTTGCGGGGCGGGCGGATAAGGGGCAGCGGGCGGCTCTGCAGGCGTGGCTGGGAGCGCGTCGCTGAGGCGGGTTGGGCTCGCCGCAGACCTCTGGGAGGGCGCTTGCTTGGGTTGAGATACCCAGTCACTGTTCCCTGCCTCAGTGAGCTGAGCTACCATGACAGGCAGCTACTATGTCCCGGTGCTCCTGGCGGCCTGGCTCGGGGCGGCAGCGGCGGAGGGCCTGGAGCAGGCCGCGCCGCCGGTGGAGGAGAGCCGGGTGCAGCCCATGACCGCCTCCAACTGGACGCTGGTGATGGAAGGCGAGTGGATGCTGAAATTGTGAGTGTGCCCACCCGCCCCGCTGTGCCAGCCGTCCTGTCCCGGCCAGACCCGGGCCGCGACGCCCCCTGCCAGCACCTACCTGCCTGTGGTGGCGGGCTGCGGCCTTCGCAGTGAGCATGCGCACATTGCCTCTTGCCATCAGGCTGCGGTTGAGGAAGCTCAGCCTGCATCCTTACTTTTCAGCATTGCTTTAGCAGAAAGTGTTTTAGAGATGGAGGAGGCAGCTTACCAAAGGGAGGGGTCTGGAAGGAAGGAAGGGAACCATATGCGCTTAGAGGTGTTTCTATACTAGAAAAGGAGCAGCCGTTCAGTGATCCACACACTTGGGTAAGGTGTGTGTTGAAATAAGTCATTGTAGCATGAGGAGGAAGATCGGTTTGTGTGAAATACCAGTTTCCCTTTTAAAAGACCTTGAGATGTCATTGTCGAGAAAAACATAAACACGGGTGGCTGGGTTTAAAAATAAAGATATTTAAACCCTGATGCCAGTGTTTTTAGAGATAGGACTTTGAGTCAGTATCATATTGGGTTGTGCCAATGGTATAAAGAGAAGGCCATCAACAGATAACCCCTTTTGAACAACAAAAGTCAGTAAGTGGTCTTGTTTGAAAGTTATGGGAAACTGTCGGGGCAAGGGAAAGGACTTACGTTGATTGGAGCTTAAAATTAATATCAGGGAAGTGATCACTTGAAAGATGATGTTGCAAGGTACAATAATCTGAATCTGAATAGGCTTCATAGACTCCATGGGCATCAAAGGAAAAGGAAAAATGTCTGGAAACATAATTTATGAGGTCACATTCCCATGGCCCATAGTCTCAGATAATACAGACTTGTCACTACCGTATGGTAATTGGTTTTACATTGAGGATATAGATACTCCTAAAATTGTATCGTTTTTATTTATCTAAGGCCATATTTTGATTCCTTCAATTTAGATTGCAAGTAGATGCATGTGGTGTGGATACCTTCCTGTGAGATCAGGGTAAAATATATAAATTAAGGAACATAGTGCATATTTATTCCCTCAAACTTTGGAGATACTTAGACCTCAAAATGAAATAAATGCTCCTGCTAGATCATCAAATCTGTGAAACCATTAAGGCTATGGAGAAGAATACCTATTTGGATGAAAGTGTGGTCATATTCTTTTTGAGAGAAAGTTTTTTTCTGTCTTAGATAGGGTCACACTATGTGTTTCTGGCGGGACAGGAACTGGCTGTATGACCAGAAGCCACAGAGGTCATCCTGCCACTGCCTCTGGAGTTAAAGGTGTGAGCCTTGCGTTAGCCATGTCAGGTGTGCAGTATTTAAGAACTTTGAGTGACTGCTTTTTTGTCAGCTGTTTCTGTAGCCATTTACTGTTATGTCAAAGGTCCTTGTCCAGTTGTGTTTCTAGATGTTAGTTTTCTGGTTAGAGCTGAGTGTGTGTTTGTATGTGAAGTGTGAAGACGTCATAGTAGAAAGGTCTCCTTATATCTAGTGCTGTTAACTCCTTAATGGTTCCTTTTTGAACCTTCTTTTTTGCTGTGCAAGGAAAAGAACTAAAGATAAAGCTGAGATGATTGGAAGTCCCCATAAGCTTCTAATTCAGTGCTGGCTAACAACTACTGTTTGGCTCTTGTGGGTGGTTTATATTCTACTGTTTATGCCCCCAGCCTAGACAGTTATGATCCATTCCTGGAACCTGCCATATGCCCAGCTGCATGATATTTTTATTTTTAATTGAGACACTATCTCAAAAAAACCTTTCAGAATAGTTGGACAGGAAGGGAGGAACTTATGTTACTACATTCATTTTTTTTTCTGGATTTCAGAAATGGGTTCTGAAGAGATACTGTGGCTCCTCATATCATTTCTAAAAAAAAATCACTTTTCTTGTGTTATTGAATCACATTCCTGATTCTTCTTTGAAAAACTCCATCCTGTAAATATAAAATATATTTGTATTTTCAGAACTAGTGTAGGACTACTATAAATACATTTTGGAGTGTTCTTTCAAACTAGCACACACACACACACACACACACACACACACACACACACATCCCCATTCATATAAGAGAGATGGCTCACAGGCATGGAACCTGAGTTCATTTCCAGACACCCATGTAAAAACTAGGTACAGCTATACATGTCTATAATCCTGGCACGAGGGAGGCGGGGGTGGGAGAATGCCTGGCGCTTGTTGGTGTGCTGTCTAGTAAACAGGTGAGCTGCAGTCTTATTGAGAGATCCTGTCTCAAAAAATAAGGTGGAGAGAAATTCAGGAAGATACCCAGTGTTGACCTTAGGCCTATATACACATTCACAACCATGCAGGTGTATGCACAACCATATGCAAACATGCATGCACATACTAATATCCATGCAGTATACATGTTCATGTGACATCCCCAGTCAGTGCTTTATCAGATGGTCTGGTCTTATAACTGGAGATTACTAGGAGTCTGCAGATAAAATGTATTGGTTTCTGTAAAGAAGTATGTCAGAAAACTTTGTGATCATAATGGTAGAATTTATCATTTTAAATGATAGTTCTTTATTTCTTCATATGCTTCCTTTGGAAATGTGCTTTTGTATCTTGATTCATACAACTACCATTCTCTCGAAACACAATTCATGCATATGCTGGTATTAATCCTATTAATCATTTGCTCTTAAACCCTAGTAGTGTTTGGTACTTTGAGACATGAAAACCTATTGCAAAATTTAATTAGTTATATTTTCTTTGCCTTTTAAGGAGCCAATATTTGTGGTCCTTGGAATTGAATTCCAGTTTTAAAAGTTATCTGTTTGAGAAATACCAGTTAAAATGAATGTATGATAATTCACCATTTTTAATTTGAAAGGTGTTGGGGAAGTCCTGTGTATATGTCAATAAAGCACTGTTGGCCAATGGGGAAGCAAGATAGGTGGAGCTAGGAGTCCAGGAGGACTCTGGGTAGGAGAAACACAGGAAGTCAAGATGTAACCGCCATAGGGCTAAGAAGCCCGGAAACTTCTCCGGTAAGAGAAAATACTTAGATTAGCAATTATGGGATAAATACTTACGTCAGATCTAGCCAGTAAGAAACAAGCAAGGCCAACAGCTTCATAATTAATACAGCATCTTGTGTGTTATTTGGGGACTACAATGCGGCAGAGCCCAGGCGACTGGTGGGTGAAAAACCAAGCTGCTGGCAAGGAAAAGGCTTCTCTTTACAGAAAGGTTTTTACAAAGCTGCAAAATGACTTCACTTCTACTTAAATTTCTTTAACACTGCATTTGTTGTGCATTCTTGCTTTCCTCTCATTTATTTTCATGTATACTTTTACAGTGTTTACTCCCCATTTCTTCTGTCTCATTACAAATGCTTGCTTCCCTTAAACACCTTCTGATGCTATTTTTTTTGTTATTTCTGTTCCTTTATATTGCTTTTACTTAATTACTTTGTAACTTGTGTTTTTTAACATTTGCTTGGCTTCTGGAATGTTACTTTTTAACAGTCTTTTTCATTATAATTTATATTTTTATTTAAGTTTTTAAAACTATTTTTCATATAGTATATCTTAACTATAGTTTTTCCTTCCTTCCATCTTGCCAGATCCTTCCCACTTCCCCATACCCTACCCATCCAACTTCATGTTCTCTCTCTCTCTCTCTCTCTCTCTCTCTCTCTCTCTCTCTCTCTCTCTCTCTCTCTCTCTCTCTCTCTCTCTCTCTTTCTCTTTAAAAAAATACACAAACAAGAAAATCAACAAAAAACAATGAAAATCAAAACAAACTAAAAAAAATCAACAACAAAAAATATCATGAAAGTGCTGAAAAGATGGTCTATTTTTTATAGGGTCTACCGTGGAATGTGGCTGATATACTCAGTGACACTTCCTTGGAGTAAACACTTTCCCTGTCCTGGCAGGTATCAATTGCAAAAAATTTCTTGGTTAGGGGTGAGACTTTGTATCCACTTCTCCATTATAAGATTTTGTCTAGTGTGAACCTGTGCAGGTCTTATGCATTCTGACACAGTGTTTGTGAGTTCATGTGTCTATCACTGATTCCTCTGGACACTCCTTCTTTAGACTCCTCTACCACCTCTGGCTCTTTCAGTCCCCCACTGGACCTCATGGATCCTAAGCCTTGAGGGGAGGGATTTGGTAAATTCATCCCATTTAGGGCTGAGATTTTCCAAGTCTCTTCATTTGTATGTTGTCCAGTTGTGGGTCTCTGTTAATTACCACCTACTGCAAGAAGAAGCTTCTGTGATGAGTTATGAGCAGTGCTCTGATGTACAGGTATAACAGTGTGTCATTAGGAGTCATTTTATTGCTGTGTTCTTTTAGCACAATAATAATGGTAGGTTTCCCATAGGGCCCATGACCTATATAGTCTGAGATTCTTGGCCACTTTAGGAATGTCAGGAATGGGTTCTATTTCATGGAGTGGGCCTTAGATCCAATTAAAAAGTGGAATTTACTTGTACAATGTCTGTTCCATTATTGCACCAGTATAGGCAGGTTGCTGTTGTAGGTCTCAGGGTTTTTGGCCAGGTATTATTGATGATGACAGTTCTCCAGTAGTATGCAAAGTACCTTCCAACACCATGAGCACTAGCCGGTGGTGGTGAAGCTTCTAATTGGACACCAGATCAATTTCTACATGTTTGATGTTATAAATAAGTGGTGTCTTTAGAAGCATGTTATGGATGGTAGCCAGTAGTCTTGACAGTAGTAGTCTTTGATGTTTGGGAGTGTCTCTGGGACCCCTTTGGCCTGTGACTCAAAAGATGTAGCCCTCTTGTGTGTGGCATTGTAGGTTTTACTTCATGGTATAAGATGTTTAGTTGGGACATTGTCTCCCCATTATATGGTGACTTCATTTAAATTCCTTTCATGTCTGTTCTACAGTAGAAGATTTCCTTGTGGCTTTTCAAAAGGTCTTCAGTATTACCTGTCTCTGTATTCCCTCCTTTACCCTGCCCTCCCACCCTCTTCCCTGACAATCCTCTTATTTTAGTTCTGGTGTCAATTTTGTTTTCAAACCTCAATATGTTCATTCTCTGGGCTATTCTGGTGTGACCTCCCCACATCTGAAGAAATGTCTAAGCTGTCTAGACATCATGTAGCATAATTTTGATCTGCTTACCTATAATGTTGCCTGGTAAAATATATTTTGAGTGAAATTGACTTCTGTAAAGGAAATTAATTTTTGTAAAGACTGACTTCTGACTTTGCTCTTGGGCTGCTTATGTTTCAAAACTGAGGTTAGATGCCTGTTTATATAGCTCTATGCCTTTTATTTCTGTAGGATCTCAAAAACTTACTGTTGTCTTTCCAGTGTTGTTCTTATACCTGTAGAAAGGATGTTGACTTATTCATGTCAAACAGCATTTCCTCTAGTGTAGCAGATTGTTGGGTTTTGTCATTTGAATGTGTAAAAGGTAGTCACTAAATGGTTGCTTCTTGCCATTTTTCAGGTTCAGGGCTGTGGATCTGGGAAAGTGAAAGTAAATGAGGTACAACTTTGGTTTCAAGGGACCTGTCAGTCTGTTGTGCTCCGGAAGAGGTAGTATGAGTAGAGTCGAGTCTTTAGTAACTACCTAACGGAATACTTCATCTTTCGTTAGATGTTTATCAGTGGTCTTAAATATGACACCATTTTGGCTGGACAGTTCTTTAGTATAAGGTAATGCTTGATCGACTAGCTCTAGTTTAGGCTTTCTGGATCATATAAGGGAAGGCCCTGTTCCTCAGGAAGCAGGGACCCATCCATGTTTTCTTCTTTAGTTTTGCAGGTGACAGACCTTGTTGCTGGCTCAATTTTGAAAGTCCTTACCACTTGAATAAATGTCCTACCTTCCCTGCAGGAAACCCCCCTTTTACAATACCTTGTGTATCTAGCATGGCTCTAATTACAACTGCTAAGTATGAATTTAGTTATTTACTTTTGCATTAGATAGTTTATTTTTCCACTGCAGTGTAAACTTTATATAAAGGAACAAAAATCTACTTCTTCCCTGATTAACTCTGGAGTCTTACTATTAAGTGGCAAGTAGTAGTGGCTTTTGACTAAATGAATGAATAAGTAATGCAACTTAATTATTTCTTTTATTGAGCCTTTTGTCTCTCATTTTTTATTGATATCTATCTATCTATCTATCTATCTATCTATCTATCTATCTATTTGTTTTGTGGCTCAGTCCTGTAGTCTCTGTCCTAGGTACAAAGGGAAAAGCAGTCATTGCCTTTAGGAAGTTCATTATGCCTGGGAACATACTGTTCCTTCACTTGAGCAGGTGTTAGGGGTTTCATACAGCTCAAGTTTTTATTCTTTACATGTATGATTAAAATGTTAGACAGTTGTCTTTGGCCTTGGTTGTATTCCACAACTTCAAGGTAAGACTAGGCTGCTGAAGGCACCAAATACTTCAGACATAGGATTGGGAAGAATAGAGTTGGAACTGACCTACAAGCTTCCTCCCTCAGCATTAGCTCTCATAGTATCTGAAGGTGCTATGCAAGCTGCCAGAAGAGAAAAGCAAATCAGTAGTCCTAACCAGCTGTAAGGCTAAGACTACCACAATGACAGCATGTCAAGATAGCCCCAAGGATAGAATAATAGCACCAATATCTTGGGAGTAACTATCAACCATCTAATTAGACTTAAGGCTCACTAGTAGGAAGGGATTTATGCCTACTGCTGTCAACCTATCCAATTACCTGTGGTTGATGGATTCTAAAGGAAAGTCTGTTACTGCCACTCTCCAAAGCGGTATAATCTCTAACTGTATTCTAAATACGAACTCTTATATCCACAGGTAAGTGTAGCACTCACCTCTTATCAAAGAAGCTTCTTTTTAACACGGTCCCTATATCTGAGGCTCAGGGATAATCACAGAATAGGTAACAGGAGGATTTTAAGAGCCAGAGGACCAGGGCATCTGCTGTGAGATGTCTTCTATACACACTTGTTTGGTGCAGTTATCATTTGTTGATACTGTAATTTAATTTATTTTGTTGTAGAAAAGTGTGCCTAGTGTATCTTATGTCTTCATTGTCACAGGTCCTGCTGAGTGTATGTTAAGGTAAATCCTAAGTAAATTACCTTTATCTGTTGTCCAGCTGATTTCTGTGACAACAAGAAAACCTCAGAAAAGAGAGTGTGCTATAAAATACTGATAAAATAAATTAGAACCAAGACAGAAAAACATTTGCCTGTTTTTAATGAATAAAAGCATTTTTAGTAAAATTTCTCCTCTGGATTTGTCCTAATGGTTAGTATTTTTCCTAAAATAAGAACTTCAAATTAGTCTTGGATAATATCCCTACCCATTTTTAAAATAATGTAAATGATCAAAATGTTTCTCAATTTCATTATTTTAATTTTTCTGTTATTCAGCAAACTCAGTTAGTGTTCTCCTTGTGTTCTAGAGTAGTAGTTAATGTTTATACAATAAGATTTTAAAAGGACTTGTAGCTGGGAATGGTACATGCCTGTAGCCCTAGTATTCTGCCAGCTTTGAGTCACCACTACATGAGGAACTATATTAAAGGAAGGGTCACAGCATTAGGAAGGTTGAGAACCACTGTTCTAATATATGTAAAGCTTATTTTTCATTGAAGTCCTTCTTTCAAATTTTATCTTCTTTTCTGTATTGGTTTCCTCAGGCTGCTGTAAGAACATTTAGGAGCATAGGAATGTAATCCTATATAGAAGGCTTGAAATAACTGAAATACGTTCTTTCGTAGTTCTGGGCATCAAAGGCCTTCAGGGTTGGTTTTCTCTGGAGACTCTGTGTGAGTGTCCCTTCTGTGCTGCTCTTCGTTGCTGGTGTGTGCCTGTGTATTTCTTATGTCAGTTTAGCTACAACCCTTGCATCCATGATTGTATGCATTCTTTCTGTTCTCTGTGTCAGAGCCCAGAGACCCTACTCCAGATAAGGTCACATTTGCAGTTACCAGAGCTAGAATTTGAACATATTACTTTGGGGAAATTATTTTGTCCACACCCTTTACAAGTAGAAAATCATTCTTCCCATTTTGATACTTTCATATTCAACACTAAGAAAAAATATCTCAGCTTTACAATCTCAGTCATTTGCAGGTGTTTTTTTCTTATAGTATTTTTTACTGTTTGCTCATTTTTGAGAACGAGTCCTGCCTACTTTATTCCCTTGAAGATACTGGGTTTCTCATTGAACCTGGAGGGGGAGTTGACCACTCTAAGCTCCAAGGATCTCCTTGTCTCTCATCCCCAGTAGCACTGGGGCCATCCTCACACACAGCCACTCTTGCTTCTTTTTCACATGGTCTAGGGATGTGAACCCCAGGTCTGCATGCTTGCACAACAGTGCTCTTACCCAATATGTTAACTCCCTAGGCCTTCCTTTTCTTTGAGGTTGTGTAAGGTGTCTTCACCCTCTTCTTACTCAGTGCCAGACTCTTCACATATACCCTTTCCCTGGTAGATTGGAACATTTATTGACCCTTTCTTGACTGTTTGTTCTCTTAGGCTTAGCACAGTTGTCCCTTTCCTATAGCCCCATATACAATGTTATTGATTGTTTCCAGCTGAAAAGTACATGTAAATGCAGAGTTATGGCTTGAAGGCACAGATATTTTTATCTTTTTCTGTTCAAAAAGTATTGGGTAGCTCTTACTTTTTTGGAAAAGTTAAGAACAATTACATACTTGGAAACATGCTAGGGGACCCAATAGTGACAGGTCTTTGGTATCTGCCTATCACATCTATAGTTCTGAGAGATTTGGAATTGGTGTAGCTGGTATTGGGGCATCCTGGAAAGTTATTTTACTTTGGGCACTCAGAACATATTTGCTTCACAGATCAAAGCTACCTGGAAAGGGATAAAACTTGATTCATTTATAAAAACCACATGGAGGAAATGTCTTATATGTTAAGATAATTCTTGAAAATATTCTCAAATTTTTTCAATAGAATTAAAGTTTGTATATAAAATCATGAGGGAAATACACTTTTGTTTTATGTCAAATGACTTTGGATAGCTTGCTTTTATTCTCCCCTTTAGTTAGGGATTCATTTTCAAATATTCAATTAATTTTGTTTATAGATTTTACTCAACATATTTTGTGTTGATTAGTTTTCTGGTCTTGCAGTTATGCCCCGTGGTGTCCATCTTGCCAGCAGACTGATTCTGAATGGGAGACTTTTGCAAAGAATGGAGAAACACTCCACATCAGTGTGGGAAAGGTAGATGTCATTCAAGAACCAGGTACTGTAAACGTGGTCTTTGTTTGTTTGTTGGTTGGTTTGTTAGGTTTGGTTTTTCGAGAGAGGTTTCTCTGTGTAGCTTTGGAGCCTGTCCTGGGACTCGCTTTATAGACCAGGCTGACCTCAAACTCACAGAAATCCACCTGCCTCTGCCTCCTGAGTGCTGGGATATAAGGCATTCACCACCACTGTATGGCTGTAAATGTGGTCTTTAGAGGGGGAAGTTTAGCAACTGCTTACTTAGAAATTTTCCTGGTGTAAAAATTTTGCCAGTAGGATGAAAAGCCTAGATATTTAAGAAGCGATGTAGAGAGGACATCTTACCTGGATCATCCTTAATACCTAGTTTTTACAAAGTCAGTGTTTGACTGAACTATTAAATAATGCCGTTTTGAGACTATTGCTGGATATTTTTGTATACATTTATATTTGGCTTAGATCTCCATTTGTATACTCCTTTATCTAGGCTGTCTAACCCTCAGATATTGATTGCTGTTGCCTTTGCTATCATAGTACAGCTCTGACATCATCTGGTCCTTCCTCTAAACTTTTAGTTATTTAAAATGAGCTTTAGATACACTTTCTGATAAATTAAAATCTTATATATTCTGAATTAATGTCCTTTTTTTCTACTTTAAACTTGTTTTAATGAATCTCAAAATTCTGTGGTAGTTTTGGTCAAGTTGTTTCTATTAGAAAGTATCTTGAAAACTAATAACTGTTTTTTGTTTTTTGTTGTTGTTTTTCCGAGACAGGGAAATTGTGAGGAAAAGGACAAAAAAAAAAAAAGGGAAATGGAAAAGAAAAAAAAACATTCAGACACCGAGTGAAGTAATGACCTCATTGTATACATTACAACAATATGTATGTTGGGCAGTACATATTCATTTCACAAAGCAAAATAGCAGCTGCTTCTCCGCTAGGGCCCATGACTTCCCTGCCTATAGGTTTTTGTCTAAGTTTCAATTATCAGATGCGAATTTCTCATTGTGGATCAGGTCTTAAGTTCATTCAGAAAGTTTGTTCTGTCCATAACTTCTTGTGTCACTGGTTTAGTGTCTGGCACATATTGCCTGATGATTCGATTACAAAGTGTGCAGGATCCACAACTGAGAAAGATTGCTTTAGTAGCACCTTCAAGCACTATAAAAGCTATTCTGTGGGAAAGTCACATTTCCAGCTTAGTCCTAGCCTTATGTCTCAGAGTCCTCAACCCAGACTATGAAGTCTTCAGCATTAGCATTTTACCATCTAGTTCTGTAATGAAACCAACAGCGGTGACAAGTCTTTATTGGTTTAGGAGCCTCTGGTACCTGTATGGCTAACAACTTCTCTGGAGATAACTCACCTCTAGTACTAAGATTCCTAATTAATACTTTTATGGCTTCTAGGAGCTTTCACCCCATGCTCTCATACCCAGCAGAACCTGTTTACCATGCAGACATGCCACACCACAAGAAGAATGCCGTCCTGGATTATCCTATCATGGATATCTCTTGCTCTGCTGGCCTCAACCTTAGTGACATATCTCTTTACCCTTAGACTGACTATGCCACTACCCCACTCCTAAAGGCACACCAACCACATGCCACATGGGAACAGAAAACTATTGTTAAATTAGCCCCTCCAAATGCTCCACCCTCTCAACACTCTAGATTCAGCTGCCCACCTTACTACCCCTAGCAGGAACGGTGGTGTTCTTCCCAAATTCAACCTTATTTGGTTATAGTCTCCTGACTACATCTGTGTGTCAGGAGAATTTTCACTTTGGTGGGACTAGGAAAATCCTACCCCTCACTGCCTTGTAAGATCCCAATGACTAATTAAAGTTTGACCTATGTAAGTTTACCTAAGGGGAACTAATATAAGACTTCCTTACAGAGCAATGGGTGAAGGGTTACAGGGGTGTAGATGACCCCAAAGTAGCCACACTCGAAGGTCTGTCCACTGCAAGGATGGTGACTCCCTCATGGCTGTGTGGTAGAGTCTATTTCCTTAGTCCTTTCCTGCCTGTATGCTCTAGCCCTTCCCTAAGGCACCACGCAAGTAGGGCAGAATTCTATACAACTGACTGAGAGAATTGCCTGGATATCCTACCCCTCGTTCTGTGAGAGAACCTGAAAAGTCAGCAAGCTCAGCAGAGATAATCATAAGTAGTGTGTAAATATAGATTCTTTTATAAAGATGATGAAAGCAGATTGTCCACGTTATTAAAAGCAAAGCTTCAATGTATCAAATTTCAAGTGACTCAAGAGATTTAAAATTTGAACCCTTTAATTTGCATAGGTATTTGATTTTGTCCATATTCAGCAAGAGAGTAGGCAGAAATATTAAGTGTTAAAAGGATGTATGTTATTTTTCCATGCTATGTTCTTTCTCTTCACTTAGTACAGGTACCCTGCCAAATATAATTGATTTGCAAACTGCATTTATTGGACAGACTACATTTATTTTATAGTCATTGTGAGTCAGGTTTGCTGCTTGCTGTTTTTTGTATGATGTCTCTCTAAGGCAATGATTGTGATTAGCAAAACTCTTTTTCTCTGTGTTCTGTGAGAACACTGCCTGCATTCTTTATCCAGTTATCTCCAGTAACTACACAGTTCCTCAAACAAAAGAAGCTTTTTAGGAACTATTTGCTGAATGAAGGACAATTTTACTTTATTTACCTTTACATATGTTCAGTAAAGATTTACTAAAACAAAAAAGTATGATTCTTGTACAATATTTAGAAATTTAGAAATATACAAAATTATATATATGTATATATAAAACATATATTGCATATATAATACAATTAGGATTTTAAGTCTTTGTGGAATGGAATAGTACAGTTGTCTTTATATTATGTATTTTACATTTTATGAGGCAGGGCTTCACTGTAGCTTTGACTGGTGTGAAGTTTGGTATATACACTTAGCATTCCTCAAACTTGCAGTGCTGGGATTATTAACAGCATGCCTTACTAGGTCTGGCTTATATTTTAAATTATTTTTACTTTTAAGAATGTGTTCTTACAGACTTCCATATATTTATATGATGAAACGTACATCCACCCTTCATCTTCCCTTGTATTCCCTCCAGATACTCAAAATATCCTGCTCTTAACTACATGTGCCTAGCTTTCTTGCATTCTTCCTCTCATTCTTTCTTTTTCTTTTTCTTTTTTTTTACTTTTATTGTTGATTCTTTTTGGGTTTCACATCATGCATCCTGATCCCCCCATCTCCCTGTCCCCCCATCCACCCTGACACTTTGCAACCTCCTCAAAACAAAACAAAATTTAAAAGAAAGACCCAAAACCAAACAAAAACAAAAACTCAAAACAACAAATACACACAGAAAAAGGCGAATCTCACCTGAAAATTATAGTGTGGCTGGTTGACTCACAAAGTTTTACCTCTTAGTCCTTTCATCTTTTCTTGTAACTGTTCCTTGTTATTGTCAGTAGTCATTGGCCTGGTTGGAGGTCTCTGACATCTACTGTACTATTATTAATGAGCCTCTACTGGGGCTCCTCTTGGATATCTTGTCATGTGTGCCCCTATGAATCCAGTTCAGTTGTTTCTGTGGATTCCTTTGTGATGTCCTTGACGCCTTTGGCTCATACAATCTTTCTTCCCTCTGTTCAGCAAGATTCTCCAAGCTCCCCCTATTGTTTGGCTGTAGGTATCTGCATGTGTTCCCATAAGTTATTAGATGAAAGCTCTCTGATGACAATTGGGATAGTCACCAATTCATTAGCATAGCAGAGTATAGTTAGGGATCATTATGTTGACATTTTTTCCCCCACTAATTGTGTTTTGTTCTATACTACGTTTCTGGGTCTTGGCACTCCAGGCATAAATTTTGATCTTACTGCTTTGTAATATATTCTTTTAACTTGCATAACCAAGTGTCTTAGTTGAGGGCTTTTGTTTTGTTTTGTTTTTTCTTTTCTTTTCTTTTTTTTTTTATGGCTTTTTGAGACAGGATTGCTCTATGTAGCTTTGGAGCCTGTCCTGGAACTTGCTTTGTAGACCAGGCTGGCCTTAAACTCACAGAGATCCACCCACCTCTGCCTCCCGAGTGGTGGAAGTAAAGGCATGCACCACCATGGCCCGGCGTATTGGATTTTTATTGCTGTGAGAAACACTGTGACCACAGCAACTCTTACAAAGAAAACACTTAGTTGAAGTGGCTTGCTTATAGTTTCAGAGGTTAATCCATTTTCGTCATGATGGGGAGCATGGCAGCATGCAGGCAGACATGGTGCTGGCTTTGAGTCCTACATCTTCACCCAGAGGCAACACTAAGTTGACTGACTGCCACATTGAGTGAAGCTTGAGAAAAGAGATCTCAAAGCCTGCCCCTACAATGACACACTTCCTCCAACAAGACCACACCTCGTAATAGTGCCACTCCCTTTGGGGACCATTTTTTTTTTCAGACTACCAAACCAAGTAATAAATAATCCAGAAAAATTCTGGGGTAATGCCTGGAACATAAGGATGTGTGTGCCAGTAATTGGAAGGTATTTGAAAGTAAAAGTGACTAAAGTTTTTTCCCTTAAGTTAGAAGATAATCAATAAATGTAATTAATGTAATTGAGTAATTCCAGTGATGTGTTCATATGATCATGACAGTAGTCTGAGCATGCTTTTTTTCACACTTGGGTACTTAAGTTACTCATATTTTAACTGTTTTTGTTTCTGCTGTTCCTAGGTTTGAGCGGCCGCTTCTTTGTTACCACTCTCCCAGCATTTTTTCAGTAAGCTTTATTCATTTTATGATCTTGTGAAGATTAGATTTCAGCACTGTGGGGGGATAGATCAAGTAGGCGGGGGTGAACTGTGCTAGTGAGAGGTGAAGGGGAAATGGTAGGAAAGTGTTTCATTGTTTCAGCACTTGGCGGTCATTCAGGACAGGCCACACAGGCTCAATGGCATCATGGGAATCAGTTCCACACAGTAGTACATTAGGAATGAAGAACAAAAGGGAATGTGTAGGCTCTTCTGTGACTCCTATCTGATCTGAGAAGTTGAGAAAAGGAAGGCTTAGAGGTGGATGTGAGGTGTGTGCTTAGAGACTCGGAGGACATCAATTTGGAAATGTGGATACATTATTTGTTAATATGATAATAGTGGCTATTTTACTAGAGGAAATAAAAAATAATTGGTTGCAAATATGCTAGTAAATGAGCTGCTGATTAAATATTGCTAGAAATTTAGCTTGTAGTTGCAGATTACATAGTGATGAAAGAGAATATTTAATGCTTTGAGTTTTAGAATTTCCCATTCATGTTAGGTTAGAGTTAATAACACTTGCCGTCTTGTTTATGTCTGGCTACAGTTTTTTTTTTCATTTGAGTTTACATGAGATCAATAGTTATTTTGATCATTATTATATAATACCTATTTTGATTTATCTAATTTCTACTTGATTTTATAACCTATAGTGCAAAAGATGGGATATTCCGCCGATACCGTGGCCCAGGTATCTATGAAGACTTACAGAATTACATCTTAGAGAAGAAATGGCAATCAGTTGAGCCTCTGACTGGCTGGAAGTCCCCAGCTTCTCTAACGTAAGTTATCAATAAAGTGCTATATGTAAAGTAATAGGTCCATGTTACTGTGTAGACCTTAGACGTTTAGACTTTTCTTCATATTCCTTTCTCTTTTCTAGACTGAATATACCTATAGTTGGTCTATGTAGTGTTTCTGGTTTTGTGACCCACATGTACTGCAAGTGGTTTCGGTGTAGTGGGAATTGAATGGCTGGATTGGAGGGATGTATTAACAGAAAACTGCTCCTCCAGCTTTTGCACATACCATGCCAACTGTTTCCTCTTTATAAATGTGGTATTGAGTGCTGGTTGCCATTAACTGGAAGGATAGATGTTTCTTTAATTATAGTTCACTCAAAGACTCTTGTATTTTACATTGAAAATATAACTGATCGTGTTTTGGGCTATTGGCACTATGTTTTGGAGAATAGCTTTTGATAATATTTAGTAAGGTAGATAAGGCTGAACTTATTGCACATTTGGCTTTAATTTTGAATGGTCATGTTAGTAAGTAGTTTTATTTTGCATATAAAGATGTAAGAAATGTCCTTAATACCATAGAAGCAACATAATGTAATATTTCATCTAACACATGCACCTGTGTTAGTGCCCGGGCAATATGGAGCTTACCCTAAAAGTAGCTCACCTCTGGCATTTCATTCTTCAAATAACTGAATACTGATTTTTATGCTAGATACTGTTCTAGGAGACAGGTATTTATGACTTTATGACTTCATTAGATAAGCTTGCTTTCTCCACTCCCTTTGGTAGGTAACTTAAAGCTAATATTACATATATATATTAGGCTGGAAAAACTTGGGTCTTGGGCCTACCTTGTGGAAGTATTAATGGAGGTTGCTTTGAAGGAAAATTGGGGTGGGATTTTCAGGATAGGAGGAACTGTGACCCAGATGAGAGAGGAACTGGCATAATCACTGTACTGACACAGAAGTCTCAATTTGGGAAAGAGTGTTAACGAGTCTTGGGGAGCACTGTGAAAGGAAGGAACAGAGCCTAAGTTGAGTAAAAGGTAGACTCAAGATAGATTGTACAGGACCTGTGACCACAGTCAGCAGGGATTGTTTTTTTTATAAGTACATGCAAAAAGAAATTGACTCTTATGAGGAGAGGTTGGAAAGGACAAGAATATGTACGGAGAGAGGTTTTCACAGTACCCAGCCTAAGAAAAGCAGCTTGTACCAGGGTATCAGTGGCTGAGATGAAAAAAAATGAGTAAATTTAAAACTGATTTTGAAGATAGAATTGGTCAACATGAGGAGGAACATTTACAAGAAAAAGATCTCTGGGATTCCTGTTGAATACTTCATGGACCTTGTTATTTCCTATATCAAGATTCTGGTAGGCAGCCAAACAAACAAACAAACAAAAAACCAAACAGACAAACAAAAAACCCACCACCACAACAAAAAACAAAACAAATGAAAAAAGAGGCCATAAGTTTCAGAGGAAGTATGGGTGGCATTTTATGGATTGGAGAGAGGAAAGGGAAGGGGGGGGAATGATATAATTATATTTTAATGAAAATATTAAAAAGAAGAGACTCTGTGAGATAGCTTAGGAATGCTTAAAATCAAGGTCATGGCTTTCAGTCAACATTCTTCTAGCATGGAGAGGAAGGGACTCATGAACTCTGCCCCAAACTGGGCTATGATGTTGCTGGATTCCTTTTCTAAAAGAGTCAGTTTCAGGACATACTACTAAAGAAATTGCAAGACAGGACTTCCCTTTAGAGAATTTGTTCTGAAGCTTGAGAGCCATGTGAGGGGCAGAGTTGCTCAGTTCAAAAGATGTAGGTGAGTGTGATGTAGGTGAGGAGGATGTATAAAATTGAAAGAAGGAAAAAGCAAATGAGCAATTATAATTATGGCAGTTACATCTCAAAAGATAGATTGGACAGTGTTGAGTGTTCACTTTAGAAGTCACTAGGACATGCTGTTTATAGTTGTGAATTTTTGTATGATGAAGGGATAAGGGGCCAAGGATATGGAATGTGTTTACACCAGAGTGGTCCAAAGTGACCTTGAAATCTAACCTTTTGGAGAATTGAAGTGAATGAGTGAGAGAGAGAGCAAGGAGTTTAGACTCAGTAAGGTGTCGCCCTGGCATGAGCTTTGCTAGGTTTTGATTGTGTGTGACTAGGATCTTCCTTTCTTTCTTAGGATGTCTGGAATGGCTGGTCTTTTTAGCATCTCTGGCAAGATTTGGGTGAGTACTTTTACACAGTTATTAAATTTGAAGATAGTTTTTTTGTAAGAATAGAAAATAGCTTTTAAATAATAGGAAAATGAAAATTTACAAGTACTTTCATAATTCTGCTTTCCTTGAGCCATAAAACTACTCCCCTCATTTTTGATTCATCATAGTAATATGTGTTTATAGAAAGGTGTAATTTGAAGAGGTACCCATAGCTACTGTCTCAGAATCATAATTTTGTTAGATTGGTGATGAGGTCCTTATAAAAGCAAAGATGGTTATGTGATATGGTTTTATTTTGTCTCATTATTCCCTTGGAAAATCTCTCTCTCTTTTTTTTTTTTTTTGTTTTGTTTTTTACGAGACAGGGTTTCTCTGTATTGTTTTGGAGGCTGTCGGTCCAGCCCAGCCTCGAACTCACAGAGATCCTCCTGCCTCTGCTTCCCGAGTGCTGGGATTAAAGGCGTGTGCCACCACTGCCCAGCTGGAAAATCTCTTTATACATCAAAGATTGTCTAGGCAGGAATGAAAATCATTCTGTGTGTCTAGAAGCAGCAAAATGTAGCTTGAGAGGGGCTTGGTTTTGTAAATAAAGCTTTCTTTAAGCAGTCATGAATAAAGTATCTACTGTTTCTTGATTAGGTTGTACTACAGTGATGGAGTTGTATAGCTGTTACAAAACAAGGAATTGTGCCCACTAGTGTAAAGCACTCCCTGTTGTATGTGCTTATACAGTGACACATAGTCACTTCAGTGTTAGAACAATTATTTAGGCCAAATGTTTAATTATTTCTTAGTTTTAATATGCCATTAGTTTTTAATATGTCCATTTCTTTCTCTGTAGAAAAAGCTTAACACCATCGTGCTATCATTCATGTAATTGTTTGAATTACTTACTTACTAGTTCTAAAAGTGCTTTAAACTTATTTGTTTTTTAACTAAGGCTAATATAACTAAAACTTAATATAAAATTCTGTAGCAGCTCCTGTGTGTGTGTGTGTGTGTGTTTGATCTCCTGTGATCTAGATGGGGATGTCTCTTCTCTCATCTTTTCTTCCATTTAGCACAATATCCAGAGATGTTCATAGCAAACTATAGTGAGATGATATACAGCCATAAGGTCCCTTTCTTGAAGCCTGCAGGAGGCTTTTAGATTAGGTCTTGTAGATATTCAGAGACAGACTGTAAAAGGAAACAAGAAGCCTTGACTACCACTGAAGAAGCTTCCATGCAAGAAAGATATTAAGGGGACTCTGGGATGTGTGTGAAAGGGATCATGGGCTTGATCTTGAATTCCTCAAGAGTATATCTCCTCCAATACAGGTGAGCTCCAAACCACTGCAGCTTTGACTGAGACCATGTTCACATGTCTAGAGTTCATTGAGTCCTTGATCTGACCACTCAGAAATGACCTTATTTCTTTTATTTAATGATTATTTCACTTTGTTCCATCATTCAAATATATATGTAGCAAATAGGAAATCTATATGTAGCAAAATAGTTCTAACTTAGTTATCTGGTAAAATAATCAATTGATATTTTAAAATATTTTTAGTAAAATAGTAATATACTTTTATGTAATGAAAATATATAACATTGAGCAAGTATCAGTATTTTGACCTGAAGTAACATGGTTAAGCAAACAGAAACATAAAGATCTGAAGCAAAACATGATCTCTTGTAATTGACTACCTATGTAGTTTCATATTCCACAACTCCAATCTTTCATAATGGTCTTTAAAGCTATTGTGAACTCAGAGTAAACAGATGGGATTCTTTGTCTGTGGTTGTAAAAACAACTGCATTAATTCTAGTCCTTAGTAATTATTTAGTCATTAGTCTTCAGTAATAATTACTTAAGAAAACCACAGTACTGTAGAATTTCTTTAGAAGTTCAAATAGACCCTTTGAAGGATAAGCTTATACAAGAAATTTGAAGTGAATCTTATTAAAAATAAGATAATGCTTTCAAATACTAAGCAGTGTTGGACCCAGAATGCAGTGATTCAGAGGCAAATAATTTTTTTGTACTTTAAAAACTCATTAGAAAGTTTCTTAAGTGTTTTAATCTTTTGTTTTGGGGAAAAGGTATATAATACAACACAGAAGTACTTAAACTTCACATTATTCACTCACAATTTATTCATTCCAGCATCATAAGTAAGGTAAAGCAGCAGGTATTCATAAAGCAAGTTCAAAAATACATCCATGAGTCAGCACAGAGACGGAGGGACCTTTACCGTCCTCTGTCATTTTGGCATACTTCAGGACTTAAACCCAGTAATGAAAATGATTCATCAAGTGAGGCATAAACTGTTCCATACACTTTTTTTATACCTAAATTCAGAGCTGAATAATACCTCTTAAAACATCAAGAGCTGGAAACTGCCTTCCAAAACAACTTTAGGAAGGAAGAATTTACTTCAGTTCACAGTTCCACTGCAGGGTAGGCTGACAGCTAGGGCTCTAGCCGTGATAATGGGCTTTCCAACCAGTGACATTGTAGAGGTGAAGAAAGAAACTGATGTAATGGGGTTGGGGATAGTAGGTCTGGGTAGAGAAGGGCCTGTGGAGAGGAATAACTAACTCTAAGGACCTTTTTGAAAAATGCCTTGTGGAAACCTACTACGGAAGCATCCTAAAATGTATGTTCATACATATGAAAAAGAGTTTAAATCGAGTTAGTTACCCTAGAAGAGGGAGACCATACCTTAATAAGAGCCATATTTGAACAAAGAAAAACCTAGTTACCTCCCTTTGAGTTGTTGGCCAGTGGGATCCCATAGACCTGCAACATGCATGCTATTGCCATTGCTCTTGGTTACTCTCCAGAATTTGATGATAAGGCCTAATGCTGAAGATACCACAGACTTGAGTCACAAAACATGGAGAATTCATTTCTGTTGGCTGGCTTTCTTAGTACTGAAAGTGATGTACATGCCACTGGAGGAGAAAATTCATTATCCGTCTTACCCAGCTGTATACTTTGTTAACTATAATAGTGACTGTCCTGGATATATATATATCCATCCATCCACTGTGGAATAGTGACACCAGTGTTGTGAGAGTAACCAACCATTTCCTGATTCAATTTAAGGCCTGTTCCTTGATATGGACCCCCTTACCTGGCAGTGTTATTGGGGGGCCAGGAACCTGCGGATAAGTAGGTCATTGGTCCTAGGAGAGAACCTGTTGTTATTGTTCTGCTAGATGGGCACAGTATTAAAATGAGTCCTAATAGTTTAGTACTATACCCAATATTAGTACATCTCTCAACCCTTATGAGAGGCTTCTTGCAGTGGATGGCAGTTAACACAAAGACCCACAACTAGTCTGTGTGCAGACAATAGAAGGTTATGGAGTACTCAGCCCTAAATGGGACATATCTAACATTTCCCTCTTGGGGATCATTGAGGAAGAGGAGGGCCAAAAGATGTGAGAGCTAACAGTGATATCTGAATACAAGGAAACAGTGTTTTCTAGACACAGTATGGAAATTGCCCGTATGGACAGTCAGTAGCTGTGATTACGTGCATAGGACTTGGGCAAGCTCAAACCAGACAAAATCTCAGTATGCAAGGTGAGAGGCTGCATACCACAGCAGGTTACTTATCCAAAATAATTTGGGTAACAAATTTTATTTTTTCCTTTTAGAATAAAAAACGGTAAAAGGAACCAGGTTGGGTGGGTAGGTAGGTGAGGGTAGCCCTAAAGAGTATTGAGGGAGAGGTGTTGAATATGCCTAAAACATATTGTATAGAATTCTCAAAGGATTAGTAAAAATACGAGAGGGGGAAGTATCAGAACTGAGGCCAGGCTCAAACTTTTAAGCCCACCCTTCTGTGACCTACTTTCACCAACCATGCCTCTTCCCTTAAAGTTCTACAGCCACCGAAAACAGTGCCATCAGCTGGGTACCAGGTATTCATATATGTGCCTCTGAGGGACATTTTTATTCAATCTCCTATCCAAGTACGTATATTTAGCATTTGGTAAGATGTTCTGTTAAGTGGAAAAATGGTGGCATGGCAAGGAGATTTGATCAAAGTGAGGCAAATTCAATAGGACACCCACCACGCCTTACTACTCTAGTTCCTGCATCTGTCACTCACATGGACATTATCTAGGCTCCCATACTGTTATCCTAGAACACACACCGTCTCTCTCTCTCTCTCTCTCTCTCTCTCTCTCTCTCTCTCTCTCTCTCTCTCTCTCTCTCTCTCTCTCTCTCTATTTATTTTTTGTTACCTTAATTTTAAATAGCTTGCTTCACATGTCAATCCCAGTTCCCTCTTCCTCCCCTCCTCCTGCACCCCCTCACTATCCCCCCCAACATCCCACCCTATCCCCACTTCCTTCCACATAGGGGATATCCAGAGTCTGTCATTTTGCTCAGGGCAGAGTCCAGGCACTTCCCTAAGAGTCCAGGCTGAGAGATCATCCCTCTTTTTGTTATGGACACACGAAGTCCATTTGTATGCTAGGGATAAATACTGATCTACTGCCCAGGGCCCCATTGGTTGCCCAGGCCTTCTCATTGACTCTCACACTCAGGAGGTCTGGATCAGTCCCATGCTGGTCTCCCAGCTCTTGGTCTGTGGTCCAAGAGCTCCCCCCTGTTCAGATCAGCTGTCTCTGCTGGTTTCGCAAGCCCATGCTTTGCTCATTTGCTCATCACTCCTCTCTCTCTGTCACTGGGTTCCATGGGTTCATTTCAATGTTTAACTGTGAGTGTTTGCCTCTGCTTCCATCAGTCACCGGATGAAGGTTTTAGAATGGCATATAAGGTAGTCAAGTTCATTATCAGGAATGGGCATATAAGGTAGTCTCTCCACTATTGCTTAGCTTGCCAGTTGGTATCATCCTTTTAGATCACCAGAGGTCTCACTGGTGGCAGATCTCTCTTCAAACCTATGACTCCCTCTATTATGGTATTTCTCATCCTGGTCTCCCCCTATTCTACCCCCCACTCAACCTTCGTTTCCCCCATAACCTACTCTCTCCTCCTTTTC